TCATAGGTTAGTTAGCATACCAATCAAATTAAGTAAGCATGTTCCATATGATCTTCTCCTTGTTATGTTTCCTTTCCACCTATCTGCAACTCCTTCTCTCTATTTGTGCGTGTAGTGCTCCTTGCATGGTTAGGCATGGTGAAATTACAGATTTCTGCGACTACTTCGCAATGCGATCCGGAGCTGCCTTCGCCCTACCTCCCGCGTCGATACCCATGGAGTGTATCTGTTTATGGCAAATTACTAATGATAAAGAACGTCATGACATCGACTACTCAATCGCGACAACCACCACATGCAACAAGTACGCATCGCGAATCGAGAAACGAGCTCGCAAATCTCGGAAAGAACTTGCATGCCTTCATCCTCCGTGTGATATGTTTGGTATACCCATAACGACGACGACATTATCAACAACTACTTTAATGACGTCTGTTACGACAAAAGTCGCGAACGTATCGGCCACCGCAAGTGTGACTATGCGACCAGCTGCGCATGTGCATGCAACGCTTATTAAAGGTACGGTTAGAGATGAGTTGATGCTTTTTTAGATCCAGTCAAGCTGTTCGACTGGTTGGCTGAAAACAACGGCGTGAACGTGGCGCATTTACTGCCACAGCTCATACCATTTCACGAAATGAATCGAATCAACGAAACGCTCTTGAACTGGAATTCTCTTAGTCGTGAGAAGAAAGTCGAACGTGCACGACGTATCGTTCAATCCTACTCTGAAAGTGTAGTTGGTAAAGCGATTGATTTCTTCTCGTTAAAATATGCGTTCGTTTAGAGAAAAAGTGTTGAAAATCATTAATGCTTTCAATTCCTTTCCCTTTAACTATAAGGAATTCTTTGACAATTAGATCTGCAAGGCTAGATTAGAAGTTCGAGGATTTTGCTTACGGCCTAGTACTTGTACTTTCTATCAGCAATGAAAAAAGCTCCTTGTCTAGGTTCCGAAAGGGAGCAAAGTCTAGAAGAAAACTAATCTTTATTGTGAGCTTCTATCTCAATCAGCATAAACCTTCATTTCTAGCGAATAATCATTCCAATTCTGCATTTTTATGAAACTTTCTTGAGCGACAAGCGAATGGTAGGATAAGAAGAATTATTGTAACCCGTGAGAGGTTTCTTTTTAATATTTTATAGGAGATTTACAGATGTAGAATTCTTGATGTAGGTTCGTAAATAAAACTGCATTCTCATTCATAAGTCAGTAAGTTAATCTAAATTTTCTAATGTGTCATACAGAATTCGCAATCCAATGCAATTTTCTCAAAAGAGAAACAAAAAAAGTTTATGAAAAACTGTAAAAATATAATTAATTGAAGCTGGATATCTCCAGTTCAACATTCTTGGCTTCACATCTTCTTCTTCCACAGCATTGTTGTCGAGGATAAAAAATAGCAGAGGCGCATTATACCATGATTTTATAATTCTACGAAATAACGAGTCTATCTTGAATGAAACACTTCAAACACCTTTTTTATCCCAATGTTAAAACTTTCAACGGCGACTATCGTATGAGTCTTGATGTCCTTGCACTTGTTAAAATTAATTGCATTTGAGCAGTTCATTTTTTCTGACTCTACAGATCAAATTGTGGGTGGAGAAGAAAATCAGAGTACGACGTCGAAGTTTCGCGAAATGAAGCAACGCCGGCCAGCAAACATTATCTCCACCACACAATCACTACCTGCCTATAAGCGGCGTATAATGGAAAAAGAAGTGAGCTACGAGCCGCCTCCTCCAGAAGGTGGGTTCCTCATTGCGTTTGAGAAGACTTGATCATGATTTTCTTTTTTTAAAATAATAATCACTCCGCTTCAAAAACCCATTTGATGCTACAGTATTATGAGATAGATGCGAGTGAGAACATATGCATTAATGTGCCTCCCGTTCGACTGTGTAAACATATAGAGCGTACCGCACTGTGTAAGCCGTGCAGCTCATATGTTCGACTACGAGTAAAAACTCCTGAATGCGACAAGTCAATGCGACCTTGAAATACTACACATAAGAACATTATTTGTCTATTATTCATTGTGTAGCGGAAGGTACCGCATGTAGGAATATATCAAGAGGGTTTATTTGTAAGCATTCTTACAAGAAAGTGATCTAGCCTCTGGAAATAGCTTCACTTGGGAATTAGAATTATTACGTTCCAGTGAAACCTACATTCAAAGACGGCGACGAAACGTCGCGAAGCTTGGCGTCGCCCGCAGGACGGACTGTCAAGTTGAGCTGTCGTGCTACGGGTTATCCAGAACCAAGAGTAATCTCTTTTCACATAATCTGATAACGTCCAGTGGTATGAGACATGTTAAGGTGGTGTGGCATAAGAACGGTGCAATAATCACTGAAGCAAGTCCCCGAATGACCGGTGCGGACTTTAAGATTCGGAAAGGAATGCTTGAAATGGAAGACGCGGCTGAGAGTGATTCTGGTAAATACATGTGCGAGGTAGGAGAGATGGAAATAGCCTTTGAGAAATGTTCAGTAATTTTCACCTATAGGTGTTCAACTCTCTTGGAACAATCCGAAGGACGTTTAACGTTACCATCATTAATCGCATGCGTGGGCCTCCTATTATCGTGCCAAACATTCTTGTCAATCAAACGGTAATTCAGTTACTGATCAGGACAA